CTAATTTGCCCCACCACTTACCTAGTAAAGCTAAATTGAATTTTCTTATCTTGTTTTTATCCCAAGGCCTCCCTCTTGTTTACTCTTGCACACACTGTACCAATTAACCTACTAAACTTTTTTCTCTTTCTCACACCCACCCCACAAAAAGTCTCTCCTAATCTTATCAATGATTTTTATAATACCTTTTGGTATTAAATACACAGACATGAGAAACACGAGCAAGGACGTGAGCATAGAGTTCAATAGGGTAATTCAACCTCCCAGAGAGAGCCATTGACCTTTCCAAAGGACAACTTTTTCTTAAATATTTCAATCAAGGGTCACCATTGCTTCAATCTTCTCTGGTTCCTCCCATCGAAATTCCCAAGTATTTGAAAAGCATTTTACCTACCTTGCAGTTCAATGAGCTGGCCATTTTCATCATCCACTCATCTTACACGTCGACTCCCAGTAACTAGCTTTTTGAATAATTTATTCTCAATCTAGAGACTAGTTCAAAGGTCTTCATTTATACACTTGGCTACCCAAATATTGTTCTCAGAGGCCTTCCCAAATAGAATAGTGTTATCAACAAATTGGATATGTGAGAATTTAGCTCCATTCTCCCCCACTTCAATTCCATCAAACATTTTTTTTCCATGGTTGAAGAAATTTTGCCATTAAGGTCTTTAGCTACCACCAGAAACAAAAATGGTGATAGGGGGTCTCCTTGTTTTAGTCCTCTATGCATCTTAAATTGTCTTCTTAGGCTTCCATTAATTAATACTGACATCATACTAGTCTACAAGCATTCATGGATCTAGCCTCTCCAGACATCTCCAAATCCCATTCTCATAAGCATGTAATCAAGGAAAGACCAATCTACCTTGTCAAACACTTTCTCGAAATCGATCTTAAGAAAGAAACTGGGCTTCTTGTTCCTTTTAGATTCATCAATGATTTCATTAGCTAGGACAACACCATCAGCAAGTTGTCTGCCTTTGATAAATGCCATTTGCTCTTCTCCCATGATATCTAGCATGACCAAGCAAAACCTATTAGATAGAATTTTGGCAATGATTTTATACATTGCACCAACGAGTGAGATAAGCTTGAATTCTTCAATTTTTTTAGGGTTGTTGACTTTGGGGATTAATGAAATAAAAGAGACATTTAAGCCAGCCACCAATCTCTCATTCTTGTGAAAATCTTGTACAAAGCCAACCACATCATTCTTTATAACCTCCCACATTTGTCTAAAAAAATGAAAATTGAAGCTATTTGGACCTGGAGCCTTACAAGTGCCACAGTCCCATACTGCTTTCTTAATTTCTTCCTCCGTGAATGGAGATGTAGGCAAACAATTATGGTTCATGGATATTTGCTTAAAGTTAACTCCTTTTAAGACTGGACGGACCCAATCTTCCTCTTTGTACAATTCTTTGAAGTGCTTAGTTACACCCTTTTTGACTTCATGTACCTTACTAAGTTGAACTCCAACAACTATAATATAGTTAATTTCTTTCTTCCTTTGTCTACTTTTGATGCACCTGTGGAAATAGTTGGAGTTTGCATCTCCATCTTTAAACCACACCTTTTTAGGTTTTTGTTTTCCCATTCCTTCCTTGGATTGTAGCCCATTCCAAAGATCTAGGAATAAACCTTTTCTTATAGTGATCTCCTATTCAGACAGTTGTGTGTGCTTAGCTTTAAGATCAAGCTTAGCAATACCTTCCTTGGCTTCTTTAATATTAGTCTCTAACTGAGAAAACTCCTTAGAACTCGATTCCTTAATCTTGTTTTTCATTTACTTCAGCTTTTCTTTGAGGCAAAATCCATTCCATCCACAAACTTGAATGGAAATCTTGATGGTTAACCCATGCATCAAACAACTTAAATGGCTTAGGACCCCAAGTAATTTTCTAATTCCTCAAAAGTATTGGGCAGTGATCAGATACTAATCTCCTAAGACCCCATTGTTTGGCATCACTCCAACACGATAACCAGCTTTCAAATACCAAGAATCTATTTAATCTGCTCATTGAAGATCCACCTGAGTGAAACTAGGTATACCTTTTCTCTATTAAAGGCAAATCAATTAGTTTTGAGTCTTTGATGAATGAATCAAACTCCTCCATTTCTCTATTAAAACCACCCCTTCCAATCCTTTCCTATCTGTTTCGAGTGTTGTTAAAATCACCCATCAAATGCATACATTCACTTTTACCTTTTATCAATTTTTTTAGCTCATCCCATAATGATTTCTTGGTTGAAACATCGTAAGGTGCATAGACATTGATCAAGCATATAGGAGTTTTATTATATCCCCATACCCCATAGACTCCGACAAAGTTATCCCCTTTCGATTGTGCTACAATTCTTTGAGGTATCTCCCATTTTGGGGGCAGGCTAAGGGGAGGGAAGTTAAAGATCTTGTATAGAAGAAGAAGGTAGAATTCCCAGCTATACAAGAATAAAAAATGGAGATTATGGACAAAAAAATTCTATAGATATTTGTGGGGGTTTGATGATTTCAGGTTCACAACAAAGCCTTCTATTGGTCAGTCAAGTGGACTGATTTCTATGGAAAAATGAATGATTAAGATTTTTTAAATGTGTTTTTTAAAATTTGTGTGTAAGTGAATCTCTGTTATATACATATAGATAGGTTAATGCGTATCATTCTTGACTCAAAACAAAAAAAAAATAGTCCCAACTACATTTGAAAATCGAAATCACAATTCAAAATTTAAAAATCTACCTTATTAAAAGTTGATACATAGATTTGAAAACTGATTATATATTCTATATTCTAAATATAGAATATATAATCAATTTTCAAATCTATATAAAATATATAATCAGTTTTCAAATCTAAATATCAACATTTGATAAGATAAATTTTTAAATTTTGAATTGAGTTTTAATTAAATATAATAAACTAGTTTGAAGTTGAGATTCTAATTTATTTTAAGAGTCAGGATTGATATACATTATATATATATGCTAGTGCATATCAATTCCAACTTCTAAAAAAAATTAGAGTCCTAACCCGCATTTAAAAACAAAAATCCCAATTCAAAATTCAAACTTAAATTTGAAAACCAATTATATATTCTAATATAAGAATATAGTAAATTTTCAAATTTAAATATCAACATTTAATAAGATGAAATTTTAAATTTTGAATTAAGTTTTAATTAAATAAAATGACGTAATTTAAAATTAGACCTCTAATTTATTTTGAGAGTTGGAACTAATATGTACTTGTTCTATATATATTATCATGAATGAAAAGCAAAATTAAGGGGAATTACTTGACATTTAATGCTTTTTTAATATATTTTTATAATAAATTAAAAAATGTCAATCTAGAACTCTCCAGCTTCTGACTACAACCTCCCACAGTTTCAGCCTCCTTTTGATACTTGGAAGCCCTTCGGCTTCTCAAGCATGGTGGAGCTGACCAGTCATGCTCTTGTGTCCGATGACCACTTTGGGTGGTCTATCAGCTTCTTTTGTGACCCCTTTTGGTGGTCTTTGTTTTCTTTTCTTTCTGTTACTTGTTTCTTATTTTGTTTTACTCAGCTTTGGTGGCCAACAAGCCAATAATGAAGAATTTGGATAAGGGCCGCCGTTTGTTCCAATCTCCCAACCATGGCATCTTGGAGAATGGGCATGAACTCTACAAGAGTAGATTGGAGGATGTCCAGCTGTTCTAGAACACTCGACCAAAGGTTGTTTCCTTAGAGGTTGTTCGTGTGATATGGCATCGTCCTTTTTTAAATCTGTCTTTGAACTTGA